GAGATGAAGATGGCACCTCCCTTTCTCTGAGGACCAGGGACCCGGGATGTTGAAAGAGAATGAATCATTGGGAGACCTGGGGAGAGGGGCACGGAAGGAGAGCTCAGCAAAAGCAGAGGCTAACCTTAGCATATCCACAGCCAGAAATGAGCCCCTTTTCAAACTCCTAACCGGTGGTCTCTGGCTTGCTAATTGCTCAGGAATAAGTAATGAGATTTAAGAGGACAACTAAAATATAGATTAATAATGAAGGCTTGTCAAATAGCTAAACTACTGTCGATGTAAGAAAAGTGCAAACCTGTAGAGAATTTTATGTATTTATCATATTTGAGCCAAACTGACAACATATATAACAGCTTGCAGTTTTTAAAAATGCATTTGGAATTAATGAGGTAATTTAAGTAAGATTACACGAAGGAGGTAGAAAGTGAGGAAGGGATTAGATTATAAAATTATCTGCTTTCTTAAGGGCGGTTACACTTTTGAGGAGTATTACTTCTGCATTTCACAGATGTGTGAACTTCGATGCAATCGGACTTCGAGAACAATCAGCAGTTTGCTTAAAAACCTTTCACTAAAGAAGTTATAGGCCTGGGGTATGACTACCCAGCATGACCTGCCCTTTTTCGTCCACATTACTGAGTGCTAATTATATAACCTAACAAATAAAGTATTTTTGCTTAAAAGTAAAGTGTTAGAAGAAAATCAAATATTAACTACTCAAATGCTGGCTGAGAACTAAGGGATTAATTTAAAACTAAGTTGTTAGCATATGCTGGTTAACTGGTGACTAAGGTAATAGTTGAAAAGGATTTAAAGTGAGATTTTTCCCTGGGGGATTCTTGCACATTGGAGGGGGTTTGGAAACAGCAGAAAGCTGAAAAGGCCTCTAGGAATGAAGGTCTACTTGAGACTGTAAAATCTTCAGCTGGACTCTAAACTTATGGAGAAATTGTTTGTCTTTGGTTTTCAGATAGGATTTAGTTCAGGGAACAGCAAGGAGCTGTTCTCTCAAAATGTTTGCCAGCTAATCACATTTAATTTGCTAAGGGCCAGGCAGCGTGCTAAAGAGAGAAAACAGGCAGTTGCTTAAACAAGGAGAACAGAGTGTGGTGAGTGAATTGAGTGGTGTGTCAGAGGAAAGGCTTAGAGGTTTTAGGCTGGGTAGAAGGAAAAGCTGGTGAGTTTAGCTCTAGGTTGTTAAGTTGAACTGAGGTGTCGGTAGACAAGCCCTGTAGGCAGGTTGATATCAGTCCAAGGTAGAGAGATTTGAGTCCAGGGCATAGATGGTGGTCAAAATCATGAGGAAAAAAAAAATAAGAGAGCTGCAGAAGAGTATGTGAAGTGAGAAAAGGGACCTGGAACCCCAACGAAGAACAACAGGGAAGCAGAGGGCAGAGGAAGAAACATCAACTGACACTGAGAAGAAAGGGACACTCAGAGGAAACCAAGAGATGACAGTGGCATGAAAACTAAGGGAAGAGAATGTGTCAGGGAGAGGGATGTAGTCTGCAATGTCAAATGTGGCTGAGAGATCAAGAAGGATAACGTCAGAGACAGAATGTGGTTCCGAGTGTCCATCACCAAAATGTCTGATAACTGGGTTTCATTGTATATGTGTGTGCGTACCCACAGTGAGTATATGCCGAGCTGGATCTCAGAGCAGGATGTATAAGGGTAAGTCTGGAGGCCACCGTAGAGGGGCTATGGTCAATTCAGAGAGCCTTCATTTATAATACTCAGGGCAGCTTTCGAGGACTATTAAGGGAGACTATGAGAGCTATAAGCACAGTTCAAACCTTTCATTGTCCAATGGGAAAATGAGGAGAGAAGACAGGGAACAATTTGCTCAGTCTGTGAGTCAGGGGCATAGCCAGAACCTGAATCCGAATCTGCTACTTCCAGAAGAGGGACCCTTGGGAGAAGTAGATATGAAATTCTTACTGGCCAATGAATTATCAATCAGTGACATTGCCCATCACCTCCATTTTAGTTGCCTCTTTTTATCCCTCTATATAAAACCCTAAGATGCAAATAGGCGGAACAACCAAACAACCAGTCGCTATGACATGTGCTGACCACCAGGGGACACGCACAGAACATGGCAGAGTGCAGAACATGGTGGGTGTCGGCCAGGGCGGGATGGTGGAGCAGGAGAGCAGGGCACCAGACCAAGGTGGGGCACTGGCGAGCCTCAGGTGGTTACTGAAAATTCTTTGCTTCCTCGTACCATGGTTCCACCAGGTGCTCACACCTGCTGTCAGTGCCGCAGCTGCTGCTCGCATCCGCTGCCAGCACCCAGCACCAGTGTGAGCAGCGGCTGCCAGCCCCGACTGCCCCTGAGGGCTTCTCCACCTCCCCCTGCTTCTGAGAAGCGATTGGGGAAGCAGCTACTGCTCACACCCACTGACAGCGCCAGCCCCGCTCGCACCTGCTGCTGGCGCCTGCCTCAATCACTCTGCGCCATCAGCAGGTGCGAGCGGGGTCAGCCGGAGCGGGGCTTCGGGCAGACAGGGGACCAGGGGCCACGGCTGGAAAGGCTGAGACCCGCCTCTGTGCCCACCACAGCCTCGCGACCACAGTTCCTTTCAAGGTGCATGAATTCATGCACTAGGCCCCTAGTGTTTTATAAAAGTAAAAAATACATTTTACATACAAAATTCAAGCATTATAGTAATACTTAACAAAGAAAGTGAATGACTCCTGTTATCCCAACTCACCCCTTCATGGGCAATCACCATTATTCCTCCCCCCTCTCTCACTCTCACTTAACATTGTAATTTCTAAATAAAAATATTATACTTTATAATGGATTTTTTTGTGTGTGAATATGTTCATTCTGTTTTACTACTTGTCCTTTTTTCACTTTTGGACAACTTTTATGATAGCATATAGAAATCTAATTCATTAATTTTAATAACTATATTATTGTATCATTTGGATTTGTATCATAATTTATGGGTTGGTAACAAGTTGTGATGGGCACAAGGGTTACATTCAATTTTCATTATTATGAACATCCTATTGTACATATACTTTGAGTGGCCAGATTATTTTGATCTCTGAATGCATAATAATCCTGCCACTCAGAGTGTGTGTGTGTGTGTGTGTGTGTGTATTAGAGGCCAGGTGCATGAATTCGTGCATGGGTGGAGTCCAGCCAGGTTGGCCAGGGGGAGGGGTCATGGATGGTTGGTCAGCCTGCCTGCTGATCCAACACCTGATCGAGGGGACAATTTGCATATTAGCCTTTTATTATATAGGATATACACTGAGTGGCCAGGTTATTATGCATTCAGAGATCATAATAATCTGGCCACTCAGTGTATATTTGCAGTTTGGGAATCTGCTAAAAGGAGAAATAATGGATCAAAGGGTATGAACACTTTTTGTTCGTTTGGTTGGTTTTATTTTTGTCATTAATTCTCATCCGAGGATATTTTTCCATTGTTTTCTTTTTTTTTAATTTTATTTTTTAAAATATATTTTATTGATTTTTTTTTTTTGCCTCCCCTCCTTCCCTCCCATACATACCCTCCCTCCCCAGAGTTTTATGTCCATTGGTTGTACTTGGACATGCGTGTACACAGTGGAAGAGAGAGGGAAAGACAGAGAGAAACATGGATTGGTTGCCTCCTGCATGAGCTCTGACCAGGACCTGGGCTGGAGTGGAGAGGAGCCTGCAATCTAGGTACATACCCTTGACCAGAATCGAAACCGGAACCCTTTGGTCCGCTGGCCAACGCTCTATCTACTAAGCCATGAACACTTTATTTTAAAAGATATGCTAAATCACCCTCCAAAAACTTGTGTCAGTTTATTGTCCCAACAATAGTTTATACAAATTCCCGTTTTTCTACATCCTTAACAATGGGTAGGATCATTTTAAAAATCCTTCTAACTTGAATGAAGTTGACTATCTTTTCATATCCTTATTATCCATCTATATTCTGTGAATTATCTAGTCATATCTTTTGATCATTGATTGTTTTAGGTACTTTTGGTCAGTGAATTCTATTGAGTCCTAATGATTGGCTTGATTAAAGAAAAAAGAAAAAAAAAAAAAAAAGGCTTGGAAGACTTTGTACCAAATCACTAGCAATGTTTACCTCCAGGGAGTGAGAGTATAGAAAATGAGGAGTACATTTTCATTTTATCATGACATCCTGCATTATTTTACAATGAAATTAAATTACTTCTGTAATTAAAAAATAATACAGGCCCTAACCGGTTTGGCTCAGTGGATAGAGTGTCAGCCTATGGGCTGAAAGGTCCCAGGTTTGATTCCAGTCAAGGGCATGTACCTCGGTCATAGGTACATCCCCAGTAGAGGGCGTGCAGGAGGCAGCTGATTGATGTTTCTCTCTCAGTGTTTCTAACTCCCTATCCCTCTCCCTTCCTCTTTGTAAAAAAATCAATAAAATATATATTTAAAATAATAATAATAAATAATAATAATACTAATACAGAGGAAAACGACGACAACAAATAAATGTTTGTTGGATTTTCATTGGCTGGAAATTCATGTTGGGTGCAAGTTTTCATTAATCACAAGTTACATTTTGGTTTATATGCAAAAAACACAACCATTTATTAAATGCCTCCTCTTGAGGTGTCACTGCTCTAGGCACATTCATAGCTCATTTATTAATCCTCACAACAGCCCTGTGAGGTAGGAATCGGCCCGTTTTATCGAGTTCTTAATAGACAGGAGATTATTGCTCGATATATTTCTATTTGCCACATGATTTCATGGACTGGAAGTTCTTACTGGCTGGTGACTCATTGGTCAAGAGCTGTCATTGGCCAGGAGTTCCTAGAGGTTGATCTAAGATTCCAATGATCAAAATACTAGAATTCTCCCCCCACAGGAGTGATGGGGTAGGAGTGATGAAGAAGAGTCATAGTCTCTTCTTTGAAGCACCGTTTGAATTTGCTTTGGTTTTCATGGAAGGTGAGGGGGGCGGGAGGGAGGGCCAGTGGGAGAGGAGGGAACGTGGTTATAAGTCTTCTCGCTTCTTCAGGATGAGTTTCCTCACAAGTGCCGTGACCTGGGGTCTGATCTCCTCCACCGACACGGTTGGGTCCCAAGCCCCTACCACCTTTCCATCTGGGGCCACGAGGTACTTCCAGAAGTTCCAAGTGGGCTCCTTTCCAGAAGTTTCTAGAACAAAAGGAAGAAGGAGAGCAGAGTGTGCTTCCCTGGGTACCCTCCCCTGGAATTCCACGTTCATGGTCCATTCTTCCCTGGAAGCAGTGGTTCTGTTCATTAGAATTAACTGTAGAGTTTTAAACATCCTGATGCCCAGTCCACCTCCCTAGGCCATCTACATCAGAATCTCTCAGGGTAAGATGCAGGCATCAGTCTTTTCCAAAAGCTCTCCGGGAGATGCTAGTGTCAAAGCTGAGAACTGCTGCTCTAGGATTCTGTGACGTGTTTGATAAGGCAGTATTCGTTCTTCTTTTATTAATGATCTCAAACTATTGAACGGTCTACCGCCTATTCTCTAATGAAATCTAAATGGTTTCCAAATGTTCATGGACTGGTTGCGTCTGAATCATGGTGGTGGTGGTGGTGGTGGCGGTGAGGGGTGCATAAAACAAACAGATTCTTGGGCTCTGCTTCATTAGGTTTCAGGCTAATGCATTTTTAAGAGCTCCCCAGGTGCTTCCAAAGCAGGGCCAGGTTTGATCTATAACTATGCTAAACTGGGAAGGAACTAATAAAAACACACAGGGGGAGGAAAAGTAAATATTAGGATTGACCTACAGAGCAAAATTCCAACCAGTCTCAGTAAGGGGCCTTTTGTGTGCTTCCCTGTTGTTTCTCATTGACTTCTCTGGGTGAAAGGGTGGGTGGCGGGTGGGGAAGGATACGAAGGCAACCGGAAGCAGGGAGTGGGAGAAGGCAAAGTCCAGGAGAGGGGCCCCAGGGAGGAAGCAGGACCATCATGACCAGCATGGCCCATGACCCCATTCTGCAACCTTGATGCTTCTGGGGCTGGGGAAGGGATCTAGCTCTAAATATTGAGATCTGGTGCTTCAGCTCAGGTTTCTCTCCCGTGGCCAATAGACTTTGACTCTGACTCCGGACAGGAAATGCCTGCCAGCCTTCTCCAGGCAGGCGGCATCCCTTCCCTGTCTGCTCCTCACTTTCTCCAGCCTCAGTCCAACAAAGTCACATTGGCTAAAATCTGAGGGCCCTGCTTATGAAAACAGGATCCCAGAGATGTCTGCAAGAGTGGCTGCGAGGGAGGGAGGATGGTGAAAGGTAGCAGAGTGAAGATATTCTCAGGCAGGAATACCCCTCAGCTCATCCTCAAAGATTAGTGCTGGAACAGACCATCAACCCATTTGAAAGGGCCCCAGGCCACCCACCCGGTCAGCCAGTGGCTTCTGCTGCCCAGGGAGCCACGGCCTCAGCCCACTGAGGGAAGGCGAGGGGAAGGATCAGGACTCACGGGCCAGGTACTTGAAGGCGGGATGGGCACCAGTGCCAGTCACTGCGACCTTGCTAAACATGGGGAAAGAGACGCTGTAGGTGCGGCGGGCAAAACTCTCGATCTCCTTGTTGCTGTCGGGCTCCTGCTGGCCGAACTGGTTGCAGGGGAAGGCAAGCACGTTGAAGTGGTGGGGCCCCAGGTCCCGCTGAAGCTGCTGCAGGGCCCGGTAGTGCTCCTCTGTGAAGCCACACTCGCTGGCCACGTTCACCACCAGGGACACCTGTGCGGCAGAGACACAACACAGACATGCACAGCCCCATGGAGAGGCGTGCACGTGTACATTCCCGACATGCCCGCCTGTGCGACGCCTCCCCTACAGCTAACTCTTTCTCTCATGCACACAGGAACACAAGGTACACATGTGAATGTGAGTGCCGTGTTCTCACATATTCACAAGCACGTGCACCGAGGCACAAATGAGGTCAAGCACGCAGAGCTTACAGATATGGGTGCATGCACATACATGAACATTCCTGAGAATAAGCACACGATAGTCACAAACGGGTATGCCAGACCCCATGATACAAAGATACATTAGCACACATCACACATGCCCACAAACACACAGCACTATCAGAGAGACACACACGCTGAGGCGCTTACGTCCACAGGTGATGTGGGAGAGTGGAAAGGGAGACCTGGGTTCAGGTTCTGGCTCGGTCAGCCAGCACGCATCACTGTAGTGGCCTGCACCCTAGCATGTGTCATCTCCCTTTTGGGATGTGAATCCACTGAGAGCAGGAGCTAAGTCCACTTCACCCCAGGGCCTGACGTATGGAAAAGTCTCAGAAAGTGCCTGCTGAATGAATAAGTAAATGTTCACACATATACAATCACCAGCACAAGTGGGTTTTCTTTTTTCTTTTTTAAAATATATTTTATTGATTTTTTCACAGAGAGGGAGGGAGAGGGATAGAGAGCAGAAACATCGACCAGCTGCCTCCTGCACACCCCCTACCGGGGATGTGCCGCAACCAAGGTACATGCCCTTGACCAGAATCGAACCTGGGACCTTTCAGTTCGCAGACCGACGCTCTATCCACTGAGCCAAACTGGTTTTGGCTCCAGTGGGTTTTCTAGATAAAAGGACACCAAGATCCCCAGGACAATCCCTTTTTGTCCCTTTCCCTCCGGTAAACAAATACCACTTACTCCTATCACTAGACTCAACTTTAAATATATTATCGCTTTATAACAAATTAACATACTTATATAAATGTATTTATTAATTAGCTTATACATTTATTTAGCACCCTTGTGTGATAAACCTAAAGCTGGCTGATGGAACCTGATTTTAGGACTGCAGCTAGAGTTCTGGCACCAATGCCATGTTCTTAGCTTTTGGTTATGTATTATTGAACGATTTAAAATCTTACCTCGTGTCTGGGCTGCCCAGCCCTATCTCTCTGGCCACCTTTTTGGAAGAGCCAGAGCTATACCGCTGGCTCCATAAAGAGGGACATCTCCCCGGGGCAGCCTGGGGCATTGGACATGCATAGGCATAGACTGCTCAGGTTAGACATTTTGGACTGGGCATTCTTTGTTGTGAAGGTACAATTCTGTTCATTATAAGATGTTTAGCAGTATCCCTAGCCTTTACCCAGTAGATGTCTAGTCTTTTTTTTTTTTCTTTTTTTTTTCAGAGAGGAAGGGATAGGGAAAGAGAGACAGAAACATCAATGATGAGAGAGAATCATTTATTGGCTGCCTCCTGCACCCCCCTCCCCCATGGGATGGAGCCTGTAACCTGGGCATGTGCCCTGACCGGGAATAAACCGTGACCTCTTGGTTTGTAGGTTGAGGCTCAACCACTGAATCATGCCAACCGGCTAGAAGCCTACTATTGACAATTGAAAATGTCTCCACACTTTGCTAAATGTCCCCTCGGTAGCAAAATTTCCTTCAGTTGAGACTCACTGAGCTGTAACTCCTTCACCCTGCCTCCATCAGATGAGGAATAACCCACTCCCTGGGGCCCAGGCTCTTAGAACCTCCCCCATTTGCATCAGCATTTGTCATGGTCTGCCTGTGGTAGTGAGAAACTGGGATCCTGAACTTCCTTCCCTAGTCAGGGGCCTTCCTCTTTCTTCTCTGCTGGATTCCCTGGGCAGGAAAAAGTGCTTATTGTAAGAAAGCTTCTGCACAGCAAAAGAAACCATTAACAAGAAAGCCCACTACATGGGAGAACATATTTACCAATGTTATCTCTGATAAGAGTTTAATCTCCAATATTTACAGAGAACTCATACAACTTAACAAATGGAAGATAAACAATCCAATAAAAAATAAAAAAATGGGCAAAGAACCTAAATAGACACTTTTTAAAAGAGGGCATATGAAGGCAAAAGACATATGAAAACATGCTCAAAGTCACTAATCGTTTGAGAGATGCAGATCAAAACAACAATGAGGTACAATCTCACACCAATCATAATGGCTATCATCAACAAATCAACAAATGACAAGTGCTGGTGAGGATGCGGAGAAAAAGGAACCCTCATGCACTGCTGGTGGGAATGCAGACTGGTACAGCCACTGTGGAAGACAGTATGGAGTTTCCTCAAAAAATTAAAAATGGAACTTTCATTTGACCCAATAATTCCACTTGTAGGAATATATTCCAAGAAACACCAATCAGAAAGGATATTTGCACCCCTATGTTCATAGCAACACAATTTACAATAGCGAAGATTTGGAAACAGCCTAAGTGCCCATCAGCAGATGAGTGGATTAAAAAACTGTGGTACATCTACACAATGGAATACTATGCTGCTGTAAGAAAACAAGGAACTCCTACCATTTGCAACAGCATGGATGGATCTGGAGAGCATTATGCTAAGCGAAATAAGCCAATCAGAGAAAGATAAAAATCACATGATCTCACTCATTTGTGGAATATAATGAACAACATAAACCGATGAACAAAAATAAATCCAGAGACAGAGAAGCATCAAACAGACCATCAAACCTCAGAGGGAAGGCAGGGGAGGGGGGGGGTGGAGATCAACCAAAGGACTTATATGCGTGCATATGAGCATATCCAATGGACACAGACCCCCAGCGGGGTGAGGACATGTGCTGGGGGGCTGGGGGGGATGGGAATGGCTAGGGAGAGGCCAATGGGGGGGGTGGGAATGAGACATATGTAATACTTTAATCAATAAAGATTTTTTTTAAAAGTGCTTATTTTAAATCTTCATAATGTGTGTCTATCCACTCTTTTGGAAGAAGAAAGTTCTGCTTCCAGTTCCATGCCTGAAACCAAAATGCTTATCCTTAAAGTGGCACAAACAGACAGACACATTCAAATACACAAGCAAACACACCATTCACACACACACACATACACACACACCACACACTACTCAGGCCTACAAGTACATAACTTCACTCTACAGGCAAGCACTTTCCCAAATGGCTACCCATTCATTCATACTCAATGCTGGTCTAAATGACTGTCTTCCCAGTTAGCCTGAGGGCGTAGACTTGCTCATGGCTATCTCTCCAGGGCTGGACACAGTTCCAAGCTTGTAGTGGGAGCCAGGAATTTTTTTTTTTCAACTAAAAATTGTGATGAAATATATACCTAATGAGCTAAAAACTATTTGCAACTGAATAAATGACAATATTGCCCGAGTGGCAGACCTAGTTTGAGGTTAACTGGGCATCATTCACAGCTTTCCTGGACTGACTGCTGCTGATTTCCTCTATATCTGGTGTTTAAGGACACTAAGTCCAGAGCTGGACTGCCTGGGTTCAAATTCTAATTCTATCACTTAGTAGCTGACTTTTTTTTCCCCTTCCAATTTCTTTCTGATTGATTTCTTGGCCTCTCGCTCCCATGCATTTACCAATGACCTAGATAGAATATTAAAACACTCCGAGTCCATGACATTACTTCTCTGAGTCATTTTTCTCTCTCCAGGATTTCTGTTCCTCACATCCTGGATGCCTTATTATTTCTAAAGACAAATAGACTTTGCTCTATTCTTGTCATAGCACTTATTACTCCTAGGAGTTGCCACTTTTCTGTTCCCTTTTTATTTCCTCTCTCCTCTTTACCTCCTATAAACTCTATGAAAGTGGAAACTTGTCTGTTTTGTTCACCCCTGTATCCCCAGGGCTAGCCTCATCCTTAGTTGACAGCAGGTGCTCAATTAAGAAATAAGGAATTAATGAGGAGCAGAGCTGGTCCCGGGCTAACCTTGGGGCTCTGTGTGGTGGTGCTCTAGAGGGAAGGAGAGGCCTGAGCGGGAATGGGCTCTGCTCTTCTTGGGTCTTTGCTCTGAGCTCTGGATGAAGCTCCCGCTGGGGCCCACCAAGCACAGGCATAAAGCTCTCTACCGAGTGCTTCCGCACTGTCATCTCATTTGAGACAACACATTGGGATTACTGGCCCTACACTTAATTTTTTTAGTATTATTATTTTTATTTTTATTTTTAAAATATATTTTTATTGACTTCAGAGAGGAAGGGAGAGGGAGAGACAGAAACATCCATGATGAGAGAGAATCATGCATCGGCTGCCTTCTGCAAATCCCCCACTGGGGATCAAGCCCACAACCCCCGGCATGTGCCCTTGACTGGAATCGAACCCAGGACCCCTCCGTCCACAGGCTGACATTCTATCCACTGAGCCAAACTTAAAGGCTTAGAGAGTACTTTCATCACTAAAGATGGCCTTGCTTCCTGGAGAAGAACGCTGGCAGCCATTTTTGTAGAGTCCATCCAAATCTGGACAATGGCCCACCTGTCCATTAGAGACCCACCCCCCAGCCTTCCCGCCCCACAGCCTCACTTGAGAAGTGGAGGGCTCTACATTCCGCGCAGTGCGCCACCTAGGCCTCTGACTATAGTGTTCAGGCCCCTCTCGGTGCCTCCCCATCCCCTGCAGCCCCATCTCCCACCATGCTCAGCCTCGTGCTTTATGCTTTAAGCACCACTGCTTGAAGTCACCGCCTCTCCCCCGCGCTTCCTGCTGTTTGCTTGGGAGCCTCGACAAGGACAGTTCTCTGCCTGGGATGCTCTTCTTGAACTTGCTAAAACGCCCTCTTGTTTCAGACCCACCCTACGTGCTTCCTCTCTGAAGTCCACTCAGAGCTAAGATGCCCTCCTGGTCCGGAGGTAGCGGTTAGCTTGGACGATTCTTCCATTTCACCCTGAGCTGTGCCATCTTAGGAAGTCTGCCGAGAGTAGACCAAGGGTGGGTGAACTTTCTCCTCCAGGCTCTGCGTGCTTTCCTAGTGCTGTGTGACCTGCACAACTCTCCCTCTCTGGCCTTCGCGTCCTCCCTGGGGAGGGTCTGCTTCAGGTCCCCGCCCACGCCCTCCGCCCTGCACGTGCGTTTCCACAAAGTCCTCCTTGCACTCCCATCCGCTCTCCCAGGGGCAGACGCAGGAGCTGGGGGTGGCAGAGCCAAAGGCGTGGGAGGATGCCACGGTTCCTCGTCCCACCCTTGCGTGACAAAGGCCGAGCGGGAGGGCTGGGGAGGGGGCATCCAGCCTCTGGGAGGGGTCCGGACCCGCTGTCAGGGCAACCAGAGCCTGCTCCGAGAGGAACTGTGTCAAAGGGTTGCGGCCTTAGGAAGGTGGAGAAGACAGTTTCGGGTTTCACGGCGCGCCAGGGCCTTGCCACGTAGCGGACCCTGAGCCGGAGCTGGGGCGCCCGCCGAGCAGCGGGGTGGGGGCTGGGAGCCGGGCGGTGACGCGAGGCAGCCCCCGGCCCCGGGGCCACACCCCGCAGGACTCGGGGGGCGGCGGGCGCCCCCATCAGCCCCGGGGCGCGCACTCACCGAACCCCGGTACTTCTCCAGCGACACCAGCTTGCCCCGGATGTTCACCGCCTTGAAGTCATAGAAGCCCTGCTCCCGCTGCGCGCAGGCCGCGGCCGCCAGCAGCAGCCACGCGGCCAGCGCAGCCACCATGGCTCGGTCCGAGGTGGCAGAGCCGGGGGGGGGGGGGGGGGGGGGAGGGGGGCGGAGGAGGTGGGGGGGGACCCGGCGTGGGGGCGGGAGGAGCGGCTCCGTGGCATCCGCTCGCCGGCAGGCAGGACGCGCCCCCTTCTTGCTTTCCTTCTGGAGAGACCGGCTCTGGGTCTGTTTCCCCTCCTCACTACCGGAGCCTTCGACCCCGCAAGCCTCCCTGGGCCCCAAAGCCGTCATTCCAGGGTTTCAGACATTGAGACCAGCCGAAACCGGTTTGGCTCAGTGGGTAGAGCATCGGTGGTCTGTGGACTGGAAGGTCCCAGGTTCGATTCCGGTCGGGGGCATGTACCTTGGTTGCAGGTACATCCCCAGTAGGGGGTGTGCAAGAGGCAGTTGGTTGATGTTTCTCTCTCTCTCATCGATGTTTCTAGCTCTCTATCCCTCTCCCTTCCTCTCTGTAGAAAATCAATAAAATATATTAAAAACAACAAACAAACAAACAAAACATTGAGACCAGAATTCAGTTCACGGAGGTGGTTCTGTCCCTTTTGTAGGATGCAGACTCAGTAGGGAAAGGGAACGAACATCTGGATCTGAGCCTTAGCTTCTAATCAGTGTATGGGCCTATAGACTTGTGATGCTGTCCCCTTTCTGGGCCTCAGTTTCTCCATCTGTTCAGTGGGGCTAGCATCCCTTCTTGTAGCAGGTAGGCAGGAGAGATGGGAGATATAGAAAAGTGGATGTGAAACAATTTGTCAGCTGGGTGGCGCCTCGAAGCATGGAGTGATGAATGAATGAATAAATGAATGAATGGTTCCGGAAAGGGATGGCAAGGAGGAAGGGAAGATGGAGGGCCTGTTGCAGGTTGGGTTCCTGGAGAGCGGATTCAGGGATGGCATTACACATGCAGGATGTTTATGAGGAAACACCCTGGGATCAACACCCATGGAAGGGAGAGGCTGGATCAGGAAGTGGGCAGAAGTCCAGAGCTCCATGAAGGCCAGAGGCCAGTTTTGGCTGACTCCACGGGGACTCACGCTAGAGTGGCCCGTCAGAGGGTCCCCAGATAAACTACCCTGGCCAGGCTTTATATCCCTGCCTGCATCAGTCACTGGATAGGGGGCCGTCTGGGAAGAGGTGCGACGGGAGCCAAAGTGGCCCTGTCCCTGAAGGGACTGACAGGTACAGGCTTTCTCCTGTCAGCACCGGTGCCCTTGCTCTTCATGGGTTGGACATCTGGGCAGCATATCACAGTGACTCCCACACTCAGAAAACCCCTCCTGAGCCCCACTACATGCCAGGTGTGGAACTGGGTGCTTATACTACTTGATCTCCAGGAGCTCATGGGCTCCCAGGAGAGGAGCCAGGTAAACTAGACTTTGTGTAATGCAGTACGGGCTAAGCAAGCCTCTGCTCCACACCAGGTTCTGCTGTAGGTGCCTCGTATGCAGTGATGAACAAGACAGCGTGGTTGCTGCCCATGGGGGTCACAGGTATTAAATCATTCGTAAATTGCTTTAAAATTACTGTTGTGGTAAATACCACCTGAATTAGCCTTGGGAGTGGGGGTGGGGCAAGGCTCGAGGAGAGCTTCCCAGAAGAAGGGACGTTTGAGCTAAGCTCTAACAAATGAGTAGAGCCCTAACCAGCCTGGCTCAGTGGATGGAGCCTCGGCCTGCGGGCTGAGAGGTCCCAGGTTCGATTCCAGTCAGGGGCATGTACCTTGGATGTGGGCGCATCCCCAGTGGGAGGTGTGCAGGGGGCAGCTGATTAATGTTTCTCTATCATCTATCCCTCTCGCTTTTTCTCTGTAAAAAAAATCAATAAGATATATAATATATATATATATATATATATATATATATATATATATATATATATATATATATATAAAGAACGAGTAGAAATTAGCCAGGTTAAAGTGTAAAGATCCCAAGGAGAGAGAAACATGGTGCATTTTGAAACAAAGGAGGCTGGATTCGGCTGGAGCAGAGAGAGCGAAGGGTGGGAGGAGAAGGTGTAGAGCAGACAGGGGTGAGGTCACAGAGAACCTGGTAGGTAGAGGTTATGGTCTTTACGGTAAGAAATGAAGATTCTTCTTCTTTTCTTTCCTGTTCTTTCCTTCCTTTTCTTTTCTTTTTTTAAGTGGGGGAAGAGCAGGGAGTCCTGTGTTATAGAAAGATCCCCCTGACTGTTCAGTAGAGAGCAGATAGGAAGGGGCAAGAGCAGATGTGCTCCAGATGCCGGGCAGAGGAAGATCGGGGGTGCTGAGGCCCAGAGGCATTGCTAACCTAGCAGTCAGGACAAACCTCCTGGAGCGGATCAGAGTTATGTCTGAAAAGAGGATTGGGGATTCCCCAGTTTGGGAATGGAGGAGTGGGGCCGAGATGTGAGCCTGAGGGAGCGGTGTCTGTGAAGCACGGAGCTCAGGAGAATGCTTGGTTGGTTGGGGTAAAAGAGGGTAGGGGAGAGAGGAAGTTGCAACATCAGGGGCCAGATGGAGAAAGGTCTTGAGTGCCACGTCCAAGAACTTGGATTTTACTCTCTAGGCTGTGGAGACCAAGGCTTTTAAAATCGGGCATAAGGTCATACAGTTAATAAGACCCTAGCCGAAACTGGTTTGGCTCAGTGGTAGAGCGTCGGTCTGCAGACTGAAAGGTCTCAGGTTCTATTCCGGTCAAGGGCATGGTTGCAGGCAGATCCGCGGTAGGGGGCATGCAAGAGGCAGCTGGTCGATGTTTCTCTCTCATCGACGTTTCTAGCTCTCTATCTCTCTCCCTTCCTCCTCTCTGTAAAAAAATCAATAAAATATATTTAAAAAAAGACTCGAACCCAGGCCTTTAGAGTCAGAACATGGGGACTTTCTGCACTCTCCAGGAGGCCCCTCTCCTCAGGAGCATACACCATCATCAGGAGAGATGGAAAGCAGGGAAAAGCCTGCTCCAGACAATGGCCGAGGCAGAAGTAACGTGTCCCCACCCTTTCTACCCTTCTCCTCCCTTCTCTGTTGGAGCCCTGAGCCTTCGGTGGGTCCCATGGTGTCCAATGGTCCTGTCTTCTCTACTTTGCCCCGTGAAGCTGGTGGTCTCCCTTCCTGCTCTGTCCCTTTCACTCGGCCTTTCCCTGCATGAACCCATAACCTGGGCTTCTCAAATTCTGTTCCACACAACTTGGGAGTTTCGCAAGCTTGGCTGAGCTATTTCCTGTCAAAATCCAGATACGTAGGCATTTCTACTAAGCAGGAAGAAACAGGGAAATATTTCTCATTTGTAAATCTTTCTTCTGGGGGCCCTTCTCTCCTTCCCTTATTCACGCTTCAAACTCAGCTCAGATATCCCCCCCCTTCTGCTACTACCCTTAATCACTCCCTCCTCTCTGTTGCCTTTGTGCCTAGTACGAGTTCCCGTTAGTGGGCTGATAATATGAGTGTAGTTGTCTGTTACCATGGCCACCAGACTGTGAGCTCCTTGGGGGCAGGCAGGTTTATATCTGAATCATCTGTTCTACTTTTATTGCTCGTCTATGCTGGCGTCTGACATGAGATGCTGTTGATTTTAGCCCACGGTGTCTATTTTGCCATTTTATTTCTAGTCCTCTATGAATTTTTGTTGTTTCTGAAAGAGCGCAGCTATTCCCAGGTGATCCATCCACACGAGTGAGGGTTCCACAGGCACAGACAAATGCACACAGTTCTCAGATGAGCACCTGGAAGGAGAGAGGGCTCACTTCTGGATCCCCCCTAATTCTCTTTCTCATAAGAAGCTCAAAGAAGCTTTTTATGGGCATTTAGAATGCTCATTAATATTTTGTTGATTCAACAGATTGTTGAGCACCTGCTATGTACTAGTGCAAGACATTATTTTAAGGTTTAGGAATATGTTGATAATAAGACTGACAAAAATTCCTGAATTTACATTTTGGGGGGTGGGGATAATAACTGATATTTGTTGTATGAAACATATAGTACAGTAGGTGATAAGTAGGGGAGAGGGCTAGAGAATGTGGTGATGAGGTGGGGAGGGATTGCAACTTTAGTTCAAATGATCAGGAAGTCTTACTGAAAGAGTGTCATTTGAGCAAAGACCGGAAGAAAGAGAGCAAACAATGGGGGATACTGGAAGAAGATAGCGGAAAGAGCTAGCAAAAAGTCCCTGAGGCAGGAGCAGGCATGATGTGTTTGGAGAAAAGCAAAGAGGTTGAAGTGGAGTGAATGAAGGAAAGAGTAGCAAGAGATGGCATCAGAGAAGTTATGGGATGGGGAATAGATAATGTGGGGTCTTATAAGCCATTGTAAAGACGTTTTCTTGTACTCTGAGTGAGATGGGAAGCCATTGAAGAGTGTTAAGCAGGAGAATGACATTTCTTCTCCTTTTTTAAAAAAATATATTTTATTGATTTTTTTACAGAGAGAAAGAGAGAGGGATAGAGAGTGAGAAACATCAATGAGAGAGGATCATCAATCAGCTGCCTCTTGCACACCCCCTACTGGGGATGTGCCCGCAACCAAGGTACATGCCCTTGACTGGAATCGAACCTGGGACCTTTCAGTCCGCAGTCCGACGCTCTATCCACTAAGCCAAACCGGTTTTGGCTCTTCTTTTTTTAATATGTATTTTGTTTATTTCAGAGAGACAGGGAGAGGGAGAGAGAGATAGAAACATCAATGATGAGAGAGAATCATTGATCGGCTGCTTCCTGCACGCTCCCTACTGAGGATCAAGCCTGCAAACTGGGCATGTGTGGGAATTGAATCTGGGACCCTTCAGTCCACAGACTGACGCTCTATCCACTGAGCCAAACCAGTTAGAGATCCTCAAGTTTTATAAATCTTATTCACAATGCAATAACTACAGACCCAATACACTCCAAATCTAATCTGCATTGTTAATATTTTTTCATTACTTTCTTACAGCTAGAATAGATGTTAATAACCCTAAGAACGTAGAAAATAAAATATAGTACAATAATTAGAAAGTGATGAGTTTTTAATATTACCTCTG